GTGCGTGTAAAACAATTTTTCAGATATTTCGCATTAGTTTCGCATTGAAAATAAAATGATACAGAGAGAGAGAGAGAGAGAGAGAGAGAGAGAATTACAACGCTGCGGATTTCCCGTAAATTACGTTCGAAGCTGAAATGTAATAAAAACTTGTTTTGTGCTGTTTGTACCTCAGGCGAACTATGACGAGACGAACAAAGTTCCAAAGAAGCTTTTTCCGACACGCATGTATTCGTGAAATATCACATAAAATAGAGAATAGTTTTTCCTCGGAAAAATGTTGTTTCCTTGTAGCTCGCTTGGTCCGCTCCCAAAAGCACTTTGCTCGAATCGATAACACCACTCGTCGCTTGTTTTTGTCTCTCATGCACGCAGTATTTTATGCTGACTAATTTCTTTTCCCGTCCAGTTTCTTTTTATTCATTTTCTTTTTATCTCCACGATAAATAACGTTTCCTTACGTCCGTTTCGTTTGCGCTCCATATTTCAAATGACGTCTCGTAATTGAACGGATTGGCGGAGAGCTTGTTTCGTTCTCAAACGAAAGAAAAAAGATCAACGAGGAAGAGAGATACGCGTGCGTGTATTTTTCTTCTCTCGACAAGAAGAACACGCAACAGTTTCCTGTTTGTAATATCGGGCGCAGATAAGAGTCGAAACGTTCGCACGGATCGAAGGTCGCTGGATAACAATAACAATATCTGAACCGAGAGAAACACCATTGATAATCCGCGCTTCGATCGTGGGACGCGATCGCCGATTCGCATCGACCTGAGAACTACGCGCGTTGAATTTCCACTCTCTCTTCTCCTTCCCCTCCTTTTCCCCGCCTTCTCGAATTTCCCTAACCGCGTGACGCGACGCAAACGTATCGCAATTAATTCCTTCGAAACGTAAAATCGATTGTGCCGACAAAAATATAAACACGAATTATTATCGCAAAAACAAGACAAATGGTTAATTCATGTAATAATTTTAATGAAATAAAATTATTAACTTGAATTTTAATTTTTCAAAATACGAGTAGTGAAGAGAAGTTTTGTTCCAATCCGACGCTTTTTTTTCTCTTTCGAGAATTAAATTACAAGATTTCAAAGACGATTTTGTGCGTATCTTCGCGCGTGCACAACATCGCCAACATCGCCACAATTTCACAATTCGAAGTGACGTCGACGATCAGACAGCGGCCAGACGCTCGGCTACGTCGTAATCGCGTTTAATTTCGGAAATATTCGCAATGTATATTCCGGCGCGAAAACCGGGCAATGTCCAAAGATAAACAATCGACACACTGTCGTGCAACGAGGTGAAGTTTTGCGCTCGTAAACAATATAGAACAGCGCGTTCGACAAGAAGTCTGAAAAAGTCTGGGATCCGTTTATCCCGGAGATACGTCACGGATTTTGAAGGAAAATATCCTCGACGTCGGGATTACGCGAGATTGCCTTCCGTTGTCGATCAACGGTAAATCCCGTCGAGCAACTTCGACGTTGGACGACAAAAAAGCGGGTCGCGAAACTTTTCGCTCGAACCTTGAGCGATTCAGACGAAAACTCGAACCCGATTCGTGAGCGCGTACTCGCGATTTTGTTCCGCGTATATCGTGCCGACAATTGAAAGGAAACGCGAGCAAAACTACTTATCGAGCGTGACAATTTTGACAGTTGCGAAACTCGAACACGCCTCGTATATTTTAGTTATTCAAAAAAAAAAAAAAAAAAAAAAAAAATTAATTAAACTTTTCAAATACCCGTGAGAATCCCCTCGTCGGTCTAATTATCGCTCATTCGCGCAAAAAAAAAAACTTCTAGCCGATCTGTCTTTTTATTCGAGCGAAATCGCAACAAGCTGAGGGTCGGTTCTTCGCTCCGAAACCGCAGAGCGAAATCTCTTCGTGATGTTAACATATAAATTACAAATGTACACACCTCCGTGCAGTCACGTGCTTACACAACGCGCTATTAATAAGCGCTCGTGATCCGCTCGCGCGATAACGTTGCGTTCGGCACGCAAGAAAAACGTAAACGTGTCACACGAGACATCACATGTGTGTCTCTTCGCGGTTGTGTGTCAACGTGCGTAATCGCACATGTTTCATTCCGACGAGTTCTCTTCGTAAAAGAAAAAGATGTGTCATGAAAAGAACCCGGCGAATTAAGTGCTAATTACTTAGTCCCGGAATTCGCGCTTCGACTACAAGGATACGTTTGGGAGAACGTTGTTTCTTCTCTCTCGCTAGGAAGTTTTTTCACGAAAGAAATGAAAAATCGGAACGTAATAAATTGTCGTCACATCGTAAATCCTATTTTGCGGAACCGTGTTCACGATGTGAAGAAGTATTGGAACGCGGCCCTTCGATGCCGAAGAAATTGAGAAAATTATTATATCGATCGTGAACGGACACGCGACGTCGAATCTAGTTGCACGGATAACATCTTGTTTTCTTCAATATTTACGACGCTAATTTTAGAGACATTCTATAAATTGCGCTAAATGCCAGGTTCCAACGACAAATCTGTTATTTATAGCCAACGTTTCGAAACTCAATTGAAAAAAAAAAAACGAGAATTGCACAATCTGCCTGATTATATAGTGAAGGTTATATAACGTTGTCCATAAAACAATTGCGCAAAATTGAAAATTTGATAAGATCGTATTGTTTTTACTACTTTGTAAGAATCTCGCAGAACGCGGATATCTTTCGAAATTTTTCGTTAAAAAACAATTGTTACAAAATCTCGAGTTTTTACCTTTGTCGAGAGCGATCGGCGACAATTTCAGACTCGATCTTCGTCGCAGGCCGGTTTCGATTTCCGCCGGTTCCATCGTTTTGTCGTTGTTGCTCACCGCCGGTTCCGCCATATCGTTGCACACACCTGGGCGAAAGTCGCGCGAAGGTCATGCACGTGTATGCAATGAAAGTTCGCGTTAACTGAGACAATGGCTGTCAACACAGAGGCGCGTTCCGTGTATCCGAGGAACTCCCGAGGATGTTCTATCGACCGGCTCGTCGCCTATCGCACGCAAATCGGCCAATCGCAGGTGGGACAGAAAAGAGTCACGTGCGGGGGTCGCTTTCGGCGTGTCCTCGCTGATCCGTCGTCAATATCCGTACAAGTTCGAGGTGGCGTTTTGCTACACACACCTAGTTTTTTTATTATACGAGCGAACCGTATCGGAATTCCGGTGTGTCTCGGCAGTCGATTCTCCTCTTCGTCAGAAATTTCAAACGTTTCGTCGTCGAGTTGATCGTGGAATTAATTTTATTTCTGAGTGTCGAACACGTTATTTTCTTTTTTCGCAAATTTCCCGTTTGATTGACTTATGTCGCGTGTGAAAATTTGAGATTCGCAGTTTATTTTCGTGCTCCGCTCGCACGCGGCAGAACGGACTCTGAATCACTCGGAAAGTAACGATTATTTCGATATTGTTGGCAAACGACCGATCGAGAATAGAAATGATGTCGGCCACGCAGACAGCGAAAAGATCAAAGGACAAATTCTCGCGAGATTGTTACCATTAGTGACTAATATGAGTGCGGGCGTGTTACACAAACAAAAATCAATTATAAAAGAATTTCTATGAAGTTATATTCTCATTACTGATGTCTTTAACGGGCTTGACACTTTTGTTTTTTAAACGAAATCCAAGTACGCCTCTTCAGTTTATTCTCGACATTCGGAGGCGAGTTAATTTTTTGTTTTCTCGTTAATTACGATTTTTAGCTCGCGATCAATCTTTCCAAAACGGAATCGCCGTTCCGTCACTCGCGTGCGATTCTCTCACGATTCAACGTCACACTGCTGCAGAGGCATCACTTTCGTGATGTCTCACCGTCGTTTATTTACGATTCGCGAGTTTACGCGACGACTTGCGTCATTTTCGAGGAAATCACGAGATTTCGCGGATGCCGTAAAGTCATCGGCTTCTCTTTTCGACGACGAGCACTCGGACGCGCGAAAATTCGATCTCGCGCAACGAGATCGTTCTGAAGTGAAATCGAACGCGGAGGCGCGGCGATGATTAGAAACTGTGCGATTGATCACGTAACAAACGTTCGCGCGACCGACCGACCGAGCGGAATTATAAACATCGTGTCTATTAATTATTTTTGCCGTGACACATGTGTGTCGTGGCCAAAGAACGAACGTCTACACTTCCGTAAGAGATAAGCTATTTTTTTACTACTCGCTTCGCGCGTGTAGAATACATATTGAGTACACGAATTGATTTTTTGCCGATGAGGGACCGGCCAAACTGCGATGTTTTTACAATTTAATTTCAGATAATAATTACGTGGAAACACACAATAATTAATTCAATAAATAAAGAATATGAAATAATGAAATAATTCAAATTGATAACGTAAACTTACGGTGGGATCGAATACTCTTTGCTTCTGATTGCAAAACTGTCTCGAATAAAAATCAAAATTTCTCGGTTTTGTGCTTCGCCGAAGTGATTCACCGATCGCTGCGTCTCCTTGAACACGTTCTACGACCAGCGTCGAGCAAATTGACGAGTTTTTCAAAGAAGAGCGTCACGCACCGCGCTTATATAAAAAGAAACATAACTTACATATTTCCCGAGCCAGAGTCCGTTTCCGCGCGTACGACCCGTAAGAGCTGAACTGTGTCACCGCACGAGTAACAATCGCGAACGACCCACGCGAGCGCAAATTGCGCGGGTACACGGCGAGCATGTCAGCGTGCAACTGACGAACGTAACGTACGATAAAAGTCGAAGGTTTATTTTAACTGGTGCGCGTCGTGCCAAAGAAACCGGATGTTATTACGTCAGACTCGTGTGTCTTCGATGCAAATAAAAAATTGGATTTTTTCTGTTTTTTTTTTAGCGAAGACCGGTTTTTCAGGGAAAACGACGGAGCGGAAAGGAGAAATGAAGATGATCGTGTTTTTTGGAGTGTTTGTGGAAGTTGAAAGGAAGTGAAGAGGCGGGGGTGTCGCGTGTGGGTGTGGTAGAAAAACGACACATTATTAAAAAACTAGCATCTTCTTCATTTCTCTTTCGATCAATATTTCATAACTATACAGAATTATTCCGTTCACAACAAACTGTTTTTTTGCGCACTCCACTCCTCAGCAAACACGCACACACACACACACACGCACACAAACTCTCGGCAAGACGTAATTCTCACCTCTCTCGCATATCTAACTAAATATTTTTTCGTGTACATTATATTAATATTACATTTCTCTTTACATATCACTGTGGTATACTTGACGGTGTGTGTTGTCGAACTCGCGACGAATGAACAATGCGGAGATTAAATGTCGATAACAATTCAATTTCGCGCACGTAAATTGAATTCCGTTCGCTTATCGCGTTTCTGTCTGCAAAAAAATTGGTTTGTTGTCTCACGTAAAATCGAAGAGAACGATCTGAGCGAAATACTCTCTGAAGTTTTGACGAATAATACCATTTTTTTTGTGTTTGATCTAAAAGGGAATTTGCGTATCTTTAATCTACTTATCTTCGAACTAAAGTGAAACTTGCTAAAAATATTGCGACGAAGATCGATTACATTTGCACCTAAACGAAGAATCTCTGTGTGAGAAGTATTTCGAACAACTTTTTGTCACATAAATATACATGAAGTGAAATTATATAAACTATAAACTACACAAAATTAAATGCCGTTTACACGTTCCTAAGATATCTCTTTGGGATATCAAGAATATCCCATCTGAGCGCAACAAGACTTTGTAATACGCGCGCTGATCATCGCAGACCTATTCTCTCGAGATATTTGCGAAATCTTTCGATGAACAGTCTCTCCTGCGGACCGCGTTCGATCGCCGCTTGAGTGATCTTGGCGTTGACAGCGCAGAAGGATCTCAACAGTATCACGTGAGCCGCCGTCAGCAGATCGTCGTCGATGGTCAGGCGTTTGTCGCGAAGAAGCGCGAGCGACTCCGACGAGGAGTCCGAGCAACACCGAGCGTCCGAGAACTCGTCCTCGCGATAACAGGCGTGTCTCGCGTACATGGAGACGAACGCGATCAGGGAGTGCGCGAGGAACCTACGGTGGCACCACAGCGTCTCGTGATTATCGTACATTGTGATGCACTCATCGTTGTGCCAGCAGTCCTCCGCCCAGTACGACAGCACCCTGAGGTAACGCCTGATCTTGCGAGCCTCGTCGGTTGTGTAACGATCGCAGTTCCTACTCGCGACGTCGTGAATACGCTCCCGCAGCTTCCGCTCGACCTCGTCGTCCGGTTGGCGCAGGTTCATGTAGACAAAAAGATCGTGCCTGATGGAGTCGTCGTCCGTTGTTTCCGCGGACGTCGCCGTTGCCAGCATGTACTTCCGCAGCAGGAACTGTCGATAAGAATGCGCGCTGTGATCGGACACATGGCGTCGGCACCAGGCGAGGCTGCTCCTCCATTCGCTCTCGAGGCTGGGATGACGCAGACCGCGCGACTCGCAGAGAGTTACCAGGTGACGGCGGTAGCTCCACGCGTGGTAGTTGTTCGCGTAGCGATCGGCGCAGGTTTCAGCGACCTCGACCTCGGCGTTCGCGACGGGCGACGCGCCGGGTTCGTCATCGACCGCTGGCGGATGCTGCCCGACGTCAAGCACGAGCGGTATCAGCCAGCTGCGATAGGCGAACGCCTCAAAGCTCTTGGGTGTGTTGTATAGCACCGGCCGGGTGACGATCAGCTCGTCGCGCGCGTCCAAACGACCGGCGCGCACCAGCTCACGCCGCATGTTCCAGAAGGTCGCGACGTTCGGATTGATCAGCAGCGCGCCCAGCAACCATCTCGCCACCGTGCTGGGCTCTTCCCGTCGCTGATGACGCGTCCTACGGTATTCCATCAGTCGTCGATACGCGTACATGTAGAGCGGTTGCACGCACCACGACGCCAAACCCAGACTGTCGCCCTGATGGAACACCGGCGAGCGATTCTCGTTGTCCTCCATCGGCAGGATCACGAAGCTCTTTCTGAACAGGGCAGAGAAGAGTTGCGATTGTGAATTCATTTCTTGTTTTTTTTTCTTTTTGAAATTTCTATTTGATTGAAAGTCTCTTAAACATCTTCACAAATTCAATTCTTTATCTCGATAAGATTCATTTTTAACAAAGAGAAGAAACGTAAAAAGACGATACATTACGTTACTTTAAATTGTTCTGAATTACATGCATTGATACACTTTCTGTTATAAACCGCTTTAATGTACCTAAACCCAGCAATGCGACTAAGAACAAAGATACAGCATCATTTGCCGCAATGCTGATGCTGGTGCAAATTGAGAGCGTGTTTAACTTGCGCCGGCATATTTACAGATCTTGCCGTTCTCGACAGCCTTGACCTCTCTTAATTCAACAATTCAAATAATGCTTGGTCGTTAATTATACAGAAACGTAAGATAATTGAGCGTAACTTTGTTTTTACAAAAGAAATAATCATAATGATCCTTCTTTTGTGTTTCTCTTATATTTCCATAACAAAATAAGCTAAAGATAAATTTTTATTTTTTATTTTAAAATCAATGTAGCGAATAGAATAATAATGTGTGTGTGTTTAAATTGTGAAATTACGTATAGCGCAAGAGGAAATTAGATTAACATTCTTTGTAAATTAAGAACAACTTTTTATGACTCGTGTGCATATTGGAAGTTCGATCGACATTAGTTTCGAAAGACGCTGTGAATGTTGATGCGTAAAATTTTCCACGTTCGACTTGCGGTCACCGACACAAAACCAGACTTAAAAATAGCAAAGCAATTAAACGAGTCGCATTACATACATGGAATTAACGATCGTAAACAAGGCGCGATTATTATTAACACTCGATGTTATCCGGATGGGGCGATGCTTAACATGCGCCGGACGCAGCTGATTATCTGTCACGCGCCTCGACCCTGTTTCTGTCACGTGCAATTTTTCCTCGCGTACTTACTTTTTCTCGCGTATTTATTTTTTCAGCTGTAATTCTTTTCCTTCGACCACGAGAGCTCGAAACTATTAGATTCAACGACGTCGGTAATGTTTTCGATCCGGAATTGAAATCGCGACCGATCTTAACGAACCTTTTTTTTCACTTGATGAAAAAATGCTACGAATTTATCTTCGTAATAAGACGAAAGGTATATAAATTTCAGTTACATATACTAACTATTGTATATTATTATTATATAACAGTCTTTTTACTTCGAATTAAATCTTCGATTGTTCTCGAGATTGTCTTTAATTGCTCCCAGAGCAACTCGAACACACCTCGAATGCCAGCGGTAATTCCCCATAAGTGTCTACGTAACATCTACACGAAGCCGACTAATTGTTCAATTGTTTCTTAGATTGTAAAAAAAAAAAAAAATACATATATATATATATAAAAGAAACCAATCTGTACGAGGATTTCAAAAAATATTACGTAACGTCCCGTGAATTCCGTGCGAGATTAATTGCGATTCAACAAATTTAACTACAATCGAATTTGCGAATTTACAATGTCAAAAGGGTTAAGTTAGATCAGCCGCTTTTTTCTCCTTCCTAACGGAGTATCTCGTAAATTACTCGGAGAACGGTCAATTGCGGTTGGCGAGCGCGCGTGTTTTGCGGACGCACAATCAGCCTTACGACCGTTACCGCACCGTTTATCGGGCGAAGTCGCGTGGGCGAGAGAAGCTCGCGCGACATCGATCGTTAAAATCGCGAGGTCGATTCGCCGACGTAACACGCCGTGTACATATTCGTCGCGATCGCGGTGCGCGCTCTGGTTTTTTCTTTGGTTTTCTTTTTTTTTTTTTTTTTTTTTGTTTTTTTTTTCCATTCATCCTCCCTGCGAAGAAGACTCCGCCCTCGCAACTGCGCGTTTAAACCCCGCGGCCCGCCACGCCGCGAGGGGTGGTGGATGCGTGTTTTGTTGCCGGTTTGCGGGTGTTGCAGTGCGGGCTTTCCGCGAAACGGGGGCGGCCAAGGTTTAAGGTTAGGTTTACGTCGCCGCAACGCGTCCGCGGTGATTTTAAATCGATAACCTTTTAACACACACCCGATGGTCTTTTTTTTTATACGTCGTCGCTTTTTTCTCTCCGGTTTTTTATCTCCCGCACGCTCTCTTTGTGAGCTCGGGATAAAAAAAAAAATGTGTATTTTAGTCGCGCGCGCTACGGAGAAAAGTCACGGGTGATAGAGACGAAAAAAGGTGCAGAAAATCGTACAAAAGGAGCAGATACCAGCGGTTTTTTTAGCGTGTCGTTAATTAATTCGCATCGACTCGCCAAGATCGAAACCGTTGCGGCGAGTTCAAATTTTCACACACGCGCAGGCGATATACCTGCATGTTTACTCGCGACAATAAAGGTGTGACGCGCGAACGCGTTTTTTTTTTCTCGCACGCGCACCACCACGGGAATTATTCGCCGTGAGCGCGAGCCGAGCGAGTATTCGTCGCCGGGTTTGCGATTCTGTCACACGTCGAGACGAGACGAGAAAAAAAAAACGACGGAAAGCAGACGACGCAAAACACGCCCGTCCCGAGCGTGGGAAAAGAAAAAGAAGGAACAGCAGAGAGAGGGACACTCACATAGCGGGATTCCTCCTGACCGTGCTCTCGATGTCACGGAGGATCTTCTCGGCGGCCGGAAACTCGTCCATCGTGGGTGCCGCATCACATCTTCTCCGTGGATGTGTCACTCGACGACAGACGCGCACCACCCTGGTGTTCTCTCTTCACTTTCCTTCCTCTCTCTCTCTCTCTCGCCTCTTCTCTGTCTCTCTTTCTCGTTCACCGCGCACACAACACGTCCAGTTGCAGCGTACGGTCGCAGTAAATTACAGTAGCGGCGCAACTCGCCGTCGGCACCTTTGATCTTGGCGTGCGCAAAACTCAACTGCACATGCGCGAAGGGAGACCCGACGCGCCAGCGCCACCTGAGCTACTCTCTCACTTCCTTTCCCGTTTTCTCTTTCTCTCCTTCTTTTCTCTTATTACATTCAAGTATTTGTATTAAAAAACGATATTAAATAAAATACAAATTGATGTGGATGATTAGCATCTCCATATTGTTACTTTAAAAATCACGAAAAAATAAGATACTTCAAATTTCCCGAAAACGGAGCCTCATATTAGGACTTTTGTTTTTTTTATTCTACAAACCTCGTTTTTAAAAAACAGAATTATTTTGTTTTCGAATGTAGTTCGGAAAATATCTTGCACTCCATCGTTTCACAGACCGATCGTACACCGTTCTCGGTCGTATTTGCTCACCTGAAAGGAACTGCTAGATTGTTACCAAGATGGTGAACTAAGATACGAGTGTCGTCTTATCAAGCCCGCGACACATAATCGTACTTACTGCGCCGATAAGCGACGATCTCACACGTTCTGCCGCTCTCACCTCGATGTTCGCGCGTCGAGCACCCGTGAAGAAAAGACCGCCGTAACTCCGTGGCCGCTATCGAAGTGTCGATCAGTATCGATTCCAACATACGTTGGAGAGCCGATCGAGATCTCGACGAACGTCAAGACGTGTTCGCACGACAAACGTGTTACAACGCGCGTGAAGCCGACGTTCTAACCTCCTCTCCGTAACGTCGCAGTGTGCGTCATCTTCCCAGGTGTCATCGTCTTATCTTCTACCCGATAAGGCCAAATAAGGCGAGAAAAAAAAAACGAACGAAGGAACACGTTGCGATTCCATCAACCGCGCGACGGCTTCTTGTTTTCTCGAACGTTACGTTTACCCTAGGAGGTGAAACATTCGCCGCGAATACAACACGCGTTATACAGGTATAATGTCCGATCCGCGTATAAGACTACTCAAGATTAAAACAGGAGTGGTGAAGCGTCTCGCGAAAGAGAAAGTAGCGTACGAGAAAGAAGCGGCAAATCAGCGCGAGTGGGTACAGAAATTGAAAGATCAAGGTGATTGAAAGATCCAATTTTTACTCGCGAAAAATAAAAGAAACGCAGTTTCCGCGAAACTCCAGTGAGCACGTGACGTGACTCATCACGCGTATAGTCTGTGCAGATAAATACAACTCGTTTGTTAAGAGTAACATGTGATTTATGACACTGCAACTTCCTCCATCCTTTTACAAGTGGTGTTGCATCAGCCGTACCGGTTGAATGTGCGTAGTTACGCTTAGATATTTTTGGACAATTTACGGTGTTTTTACACCGACTTCTTCAGTTTATCAGTGTTTTAACGAACATACAACTCCGTGGCTTGTACCCAAACCACGGTTTAGGACTTGTGTTACGATTCCTATAGACTTAGAATGGCGTATGGACTATCTTGAAACGGTCCTTTGAGCCATATATGCACCAAACCAAACCAACTCGTTTGTTATTATTGTGTTGTATATTGTTGACTGTGTGTGGAAGATCAGCACAAAAACACACAAGAACATATGTAACTAAATTCGGTTTTTAATCATTTAAAACATTTTTAAAATGTGTGTCTTATTTCAGACAAAGATGATTACGACATAAAGAAGCAAGAGGAGGTGCTTCAAGAGACTCTTATGATGGTGCCAGACTGTCAGAGGCGTCTCGTCAAAGCATTCGGAGAACTCAAACAGATCTTGGAAACAGAGCAGGATTTGAAAGAAGTAGAGGATTACATTGAGGCTGAGAAAGTATTACAAGAGGCACAGGAACAATTACCCAAAGAAGGAAACATTTTGCAGATGTGTTAAAAAAGTGCTCTGATGACTGCCACTTTGAGTTATATTTTCTTTTCAAATAGTATTCCGTTTTTTTGTATGTCTTTCTACATTAACTAATCTTCTACATGATAGGCTAATCTTACATCGCATTAGGCACACGTAGGTCTAAGTTGCCTTTCTTATTGTTTCACAAATTAATATTAAATGTATACTCTAGACACAACAAACATGTATAACAATCAACAGAGCGCTGGGCAAACTTATGAAAATGTGCATTATAACGCGTTTTATCCAATTATGCAACAACAACAACAACAACACTTTGCGTACAATGCAAGTTACAGTGGGAATATGTATTACAATGTTTATCAAAGCCATGTAACATGTGATAACAGTACTTTTAATAACGCGACGTTAAATGATAGAATAAGAGGCCGCGAAAAGGATGAGAAGGCCATTGAACATTTTCTTCAGGATGCGGAAGTACAAATTTCTGCGAACGAGACGAGCAAGAAGCGGAAAGATTCGTGCAAAATCGCGGATGTCAGGAGCGCTCTGATATCCGTGGTTAAGTTAAATAAACAACTCGAGACTGTTTGCACGGAACTCAAAGGCGACGTTGAAGATTTGCCGGAAGAGCAGTGGCAGGAGAAGGTCAGCGCCTGCAACGCCGCGAAGATCGAAATCTGCGAGATATTGAAATCTCTAAAAGAGGGAAACCAATTGGATGCGATTAAACGCGATTTAGAGAAACGTAAGAAGAAGCGCACGAGGCAACGGCTCGGAAGGGAAAAGTGGGAGAAGGAAAAGTCGATGAGGGAAGAGAGAATAGCGAGATTGCACGCGGAAGCTGATTCGTGGATACGACAAGAACAAGCGGTGATCGAACGGGAAAAACAAGAGGAAAAACTGCGCAAGGACGCAGACATGGTTTTGTCCGACGTTCGTGGTAAGAGAAACGACGCGCGGAAGTATCTGGGGATTTTGCAGGAGTTACAGAACTTACGAAAGGTCAAGGCGAATGTCGCTCGAGCGAGAGGCGAGAATGTGTCCTCGGCAGCTGAAGAAGTCTTCAACAAGACTATCGGTAAAATCTTATTGTTATACATAACGGGAAGTTTTTGCGAAAAATAATAATATATTTTGACAAAAGTAATAATAATAACGTTCGAGTTTAATTAAAAACAAAATCAACAAAAAATATATATTTTTTTCAGTCAGTTGTTGCAAAAGATCTGTTGCCAATAATTGTCTTACTTGATTTAATGAAACTTGTTACAGCCAAATTAACGGAACAGTGGACAGCTTTGGATCGCGAGGTTGCTAAGGAAGAACAGGAGCTGAAACAGATGTTGAAGCGAGATAATGAAAAAAGAGTTGAAAAGCAGACGCAAACTGTGTTACGCGAATGGGAGAATACGTTGTTCGGGACGAACATATTGCCCGTTGAGCAATCTAACAAAGATTCCAACAGTTTGATCACGATTCGGTAAGCACGTTCAGAGTTAAAATGTCATAAACAATTCTGAACAATATTATAATGGTTTTTTTAAACAATAGTAACATCATCAAATATAAAATCACACATTTACATTTTAGCACGGCCTGGGACAAGTTTATAAGTTCTGAAACCAATGCAACAACGATTCCGATTGGATGGATAGTGCCTGAAAAACCATCTTCTGATGTTTGGCAAAAGTGTTTCAACAAGGAGATCTTTTCAGATCGAAGCTAATGATGTGTCGATATGATTAATACACACACGTACATATAAATAAATAAATAAATATATATATATATATATATAAAACTTTAATGAATAAATAAAGAACAATTTGCTACGATAATATATCGCAAATTAATTAACGCACAAATTACACAACATCCCTCGTCAATATTTATTTACGCTTGGCTCTTCAAAACTTATGTTTGCAAATGTAATTTCATATTTGATGATTGTTACGTCGCACTTGGTTTCATTGAGTTTGTAAAATTCATAAATCTTGTTTACTTGCCGATAAAAAAAGCGTCGAAATGAGATTACGGAGATAATTTTGATATTATTGATAAAACAGATTATTGATATGAACCAGTTTGTCCGCGTATCGCAAAACACGCTAAATGACAAATTTCGGAATAATGAGAGAATATATTTACGAAACAAGCTATATTGACGGAATCAAGCTTTATATATGTATCGAGTATATTACTGTTTTGATATCGAAATATTATCTATATTTTAAATATTCTAGTCATACAAAAGATTTACGCAAGGTGAACACTTTTTCTTTCTCAAAGTCGTAAGCAATTCGACCAATCGCAGGCCAGCATTCTAACTAATATAAGATAATAATACTAATCTATAATTGGTTGAATTGCTTATGACCTTACGGTTATGGTTAACATTTTTTTACGTGCAATGGCCCTTACAATAACGTCGTCGACTTATACGAGTAGTCTTATATGAGCAATTTTCCGCAGCGACTGAGTGAGTTCCGCGCGCCAAGATGGCGCCGCGTCTCAATTCGATAATCGCAACTCGATAATCGCAATTCGATAATCGCGCGCTTCGATAGTCGGCGCGCCGCGCGCAAGCTACGCAGTTATGGCGGACGCGCGACACGGAGCAAAATTACGTTCGACTTGCTCCAGTGTTTTTCGCGATTATTGTTGTCTCGCTCGCGCGATTATCGGTGAAATAGTTTCGCGGCCGTTCGCGCTCCGGCGAGACGCGAACACAAAATGGCGCGCGCGCGCGACGCGACGACTTCTCGTTCGAATTATCCGGAATTTCTTCGTCGCGATTGTCGTCATCTCGCGCGCAAATACGCGAGTGTCGCAGAGCACCAGACGTTCCCGCGCAATTTAGTATCGCACACTCGCTCGGCTAACAGCGAAATCGTATCGCGGTCGTTCGCGCGGCTTCCGCGAAGTGCGCGCGAGAAACTACATTTTCGTGTGTTTTCGCTGCGGCTGTTTGTGACCGTGAAGAACCAAGACGTTTGGTGAACGGAGTCGGGACAACCGAGCGCGACGTTACCACGGAGTCGGATGGAGTGTAATCAAAAAAGTGAGTACCTTTGAATTGTAATTCATTCAAAATTCCGTGTGTGCATGTTTGTCTCTCTTTTATCACGTGACGAAACAATCGTAGATAGCATTTGCCATCTCGTGACAGTAATTCAAAAATAAATAATAATCGAACAATAAAACGATCATGATAATTAAAAAATATTTTCCGAGATCTTGACGAGTAATTGACAAATATACAAAGATGTTTTTTCGGGTTTGAACCGCGTTAGTGTCATTTTTATACCGATACAGTATCAGGCTGCTCTTCAAACCCTGATGAAGTGAGCTGTAATGTTCACGAAACGTCGGTATAAAAATGACACTAACGCGGTTCAAACCCGAAAAAACATCTTTGTATGTTAATACTACACACCGCGAAAGCATCAAATATCAAATTGACAAATATTTTCTAAAACATACACGTAACATTTAACTGCTGCCAATAAATGTAGTATCTTTGTTTCCTGAAACTCGCACGAAAATCCACATTGTTTGCCATGCGAGCGCCCAGATGACGCTCGATGTGCGCATCAGTCGTTGCTGACAATTAGAAGAGATAGTTGCGAGATGGCGTATGTTGTTTGTTCAAAAAATTCATGAAAATTCTTATCGTCTCACTATAAGCTAATGTCGACCTGCAAAACTAAAACTTTTCCACGTGCAATGACTTTGTAAGTACTTGTAAGTCTGCGAGATAATAAGTCTGCTCCGGAACTTTTTTCTTTTTTTATGACTATCACATTTTAAAATTGCACAGCGGTAGCCCGCTTTCACTTCGAATTTCATATCAAGAAAAAAACCACTGCGGTCGAAATAAAAAGTTCTTATGAAAGCAAGTGAATGATTATAACAAAAAAAAGAATATCGGTCAAAATTAAGTCAAAATTTAGTTATTTTATTTTTAAAAACACTAAAGACTGGAATAAAAAGATATTTTTTATGTAAGATATTTTTTATATATTTTTTTTGAGATATGCGATTAAATTATATTTTATGTTTTTGAATGAATATGTTTGAAAAGTAGTTTTTTACATAAAATTTAATAAAAGTGTGTGCACATATTATAGATCACGATAAGAAAATTGAATTATCTTTGAGCGAGAGTTATAAAAGCGCGCACGCGTGACATTTGGCTTAACAATGACGATTTTATTAACACTTGATGTGACCGCTTAATATATCTGATGTAATAAAATTATTAAATTATTCTATAAGACAAAAAGAGGATAGTTTTTCAAACTCAAGTATTCCTCAAATCGTGGTTTTCGCTTACACGTTTCTGCTTTATTGGTGAAATTGTCGAAATCGAATAAAATAACTTTTTTCTGAACTCGCGCGATTATAAAATTTCGTAAATCACAAAAATCAACAGAAGACAGCTGTGTAATTTTTCGATTGCGATCTCGAAAATTTTCTTCCGTCTCTTCTCCATTGTTACAATAAAAAACAACAATTACAAACTGCTTCAATTTGAAAAAATCCGATCTTGAAAAATTACACAACAACCACTTCAGATTGCCAGTTCGCAAAAAGAAAAAAAATTGAAGATGAAAAAAGAGAGAACCGTTCAAATTCCTCTCTCCTCGCTTCAAAGCGTTCGAATACGTTCTCCGGGGAGCGCAAATTAAGTGCGCGTCATGTAGATTTCTTGCGCTTTCACAAAGAAACAGTCGCGTCGCTTCGCAATGAGAAGAGAAGAGAGAGACTTCTTTATCTCTCGGCTCGATTCGCGTCGATAGCGCGGTTGATCAGTGGCGCACAGTACACACAGAGAAGAGGGATAGAAAGAAGGGAGTAGGAAAAAAAGAAAGTATCAATCGCAAAGGTGGTGGTTTATACGCGATTTAAATTAGTAACCTGTTAGTGAGCCGTCAAAAGAAGAAATTCGGTCCAACGGCGCGTGAAAAACAGAGCGGGGATGGGCGGTCGACACCGGGTGTAAGGGTAAACGGCTACGTGCGTTGCACGGCTATTTAATTTGTGCCTGGCGGCGAGGGGGTGGCGGAAAGTAGGATGGTGGTGGCGTAAGGTTACGCGCGGGGGGGCCTCTCGCTCTTTGAGGTCGGTGGTTGATGGCGGTCGGTTGCCCCGTTTCTCGCCACTCCCTGGCTTGTACGGGCTTCGTGTACGCACTGAAGGCCGCTGTGGAACACAACCCCCAGAACAGAAGAGAGAAATAGGGAGAGGGGAGGAGAAAGAGAGTATAAAAAAGAGAAAAAAGATCGGTAGAAAGAGAGCCGGCGCAAGGTCCGTGATAAGCTGATGATGGTAGTTTTGCGTGTAAGACGGGTCCGAAAATCTTCTCACCGAGTGTATATCACCGGTACATCTTTTTCACTGCGCTTCTATCTCGATATTATTTTCGGAAAGATCACATTTTATTCGCGCTATTACTTTAGGTGTGCTTATACGTGACGTTGTTTGTTAGAGAGTCGTTCGATATTCGTTCGCCTTGTTTCAGAAAAAAGTAATTTTAATTTTCTACATTTTAATTTATAGAAATTACATTTTGCAATTGCGATATTCTTTTTTTCGCGGAAAAATACAATTACGGTTGTACGTATATTTCACATATATACACTAAAATATTGTACACATATTTCGTGATATAAAAGACTAGTAGTGCAATTATAATTATTTGAAAAATTTAGATTCATTAAGTCTTCATTTCAATGTTTTCGGTGAATATTAAAACATTACGCACACGGTCATTTGTATTATTCGTTGCTCGAAGCGCAAATTGTATTTCTTTTTTTACTTAAAAAAAAATGCAGTTTTTCGAA